GCGGCGACGGCGGGCAGGGTGGCGCGGGCGCTCGGGCGGGACTGGGCCGCGGCGCTGCCGCTGATCCGGGCGGGAATGGCGGCGCAGTGGGTGCGGGAGCAGGAGCTGGGCCCGCTGCTCTGCGACCCCGAGCTGCCGCTGGAAGTGCGCTGGGCAGGGAGCGGGAACGGGAACGGGAGCGGGAATGGGAGCGGGAGCGGGAATGGGAACGGGAATGGGAATGGGAACGGGAGCAGGAACGGGAGTGGGAATGGGAATGGGAACGGGAATGGGAACGAGAACGAGCTCTCGCGGCTGCGCGGGATGCAGCTCCTGCCGGGATACCGGGAGCGCGTGGAGAAGGCGCTCAGCTAGGAGCTGGGATCGGGATCAGGGATCGAGATCCAGGAGCCATGATTGGGATTGGGATCTGGGATTGGGATTAGGATTGGGATCCAGGAGCCGGGATTGGGAGTTTGGATCAGGAGCCAGGATTGGGATCAGGATCTGGGATCGGTATCCAGGAGCCAGGATTGAGATCAGGATCCAGGATTGGGATTTGGGATCTGGGAGCCAGGATTGGGATCAGGATCCAGGATTGGTATCCAGGAGCCAGGATTGGGAGCTGGGATTGGGATCCAGGAGCCAGGATTGGGAGCTGAGATTTGGAATTGGGAGCTGGGATCCAGTATCAGGGTCTGGGAGCTGGGATTGAGGTCTGGGATCGGGATTGAGATCCTGGATTCTGGATCGGGATCAGGGAGCCGGGATTGGGATTTGGGATCCAGGAGCCAGGACTGGGAGCTGGAAGTGAGATCTGGGATTGGGATTGAGATCCTGGATTGGAGATCAGGGTCAGGGAGCCGGGATTGGGATTTGCGATCTGGGATCCAGGATCAGGAGCCAGGATTTGGGATCTGGGACCCAGGACTGGGATGTGGGACCCAGGACTGGGATCTGGGACCCAGGACTGGGATGTGGGACCCAGGACTGGGCTGTGCCGGATCCGGCCCCGCTGGGGGAGCTTAGGCTGCGCCGGGGGATTCAGGCGGGACCTGGGCTGGGTTCAGGGCTGGCAGAGCCTTGAGCTGCCCTGGGAGAGCTGTGAGGCCTGGTGGGGCTTTGGGCAGGACTGAGCAGAGGTTTAGGCCTGGGAGAGGCTTTAGGCAGGACTGGGGGGGATTTTAGGCGGGATTTGGGACCTTTTAGAACCGGTGAATCTTTTAGGCTGAACTGAGGGGCTTTTAGGCCTGGGAGAGGTTTTAGGTGGGACTGAGGAGCTTTTAGAACCGATGGAGCTTTTAGGCCAGACTGGGACAGGTTTTGGGCCAGGCTGGGACAGGTTTTAGGCCAGACTGGGACAGGTTTTAGGCCAGACTGGGACAGGTTTTAGGCCAGACTGGGACAGGCTTTAGGCAGGACTGGGACAGGTTTTAGGCAGGACTGGGACAGGCTTTAGGCAGGACTGGGACAGGTTTTAGGCCAGACTGGGACAGGTTTTGGGCCAGGCTGGGACAGGTTTTAGGCGGGACTGGGACAGGTTTTGGGACAGGCTTTAGGCTGGATTTGGGACCTTTTAGAACCTGATGAAGGTTTAAGCCAGGATTGGACCACGTTTAGGCCCAGGAGAGATTTCAGGCTGGACTAAGCCCGGCTCAACCTCCTGCTCCACTGGCAGGGAAATTTTTCCCCTGGAATGTTTCCCCTGGAATGTTTCCCCTGGAATGTTTTCCCTGGAATATTTTCCCTGGGATGTTTTCCCTGGGATTTTTCCTCTGGAATGTTTTCCTCAAGATGTTTTCCCCGGGATGTTTTTTATGGAATGTCTTTTCCACTGGAATGTTTTTTATGGAATGTTCTTCTCCCATGGAATGTTTTCCCTGGGATGTTTTCCCTCTGTTTCTGCCTCTTGTGCCTTCATTAAAACCGAGTTTAAACTCCAGCCTGGACTCCTCCCGCTTCTCCCGTCCCGGTCCCGCCGGCTCTGGGCAGGATGGGGTTAAATCCTTGGAGATAAGCGGGAATTCTTCGTGAATTCCTTGGGATATCTGCACAGCCCCAAGGTCCTTCCTCCTCCTCACATTCCAGAGGGAGTTTCCAGGGAATCCACCCCCACGTCCAGGGGATTTTGGAGGCTGAAATCCCAATCTGAATTCCAATTAAAATCCCAATCTGAATTCTAATTTCAATTCCAATTAAAATCCCAATCTGAATCCCAATTAGAATTCCAGTTAAAATCCTAATTAAAATCCCAAATCGAATTCCAATTAAAATCCCAATTCGAATCCCAATTCAAATCCCAATTTGAATCTCAATTTGAATTCCAATTAAAATCCTAATTCAAATCCCAATTCAAATCCCAATCTGAATTCCAATTAAAATCCCAATCTGAATTCTAATTTCAATTCCAATTAAAATCCCAATTCAAATCCCAATTTGAATCTCAATTTGAATTCCAATCAAAATCCTAATTAAAATCCCAATTCAAATCCCAATTAGAATCCCAATTTGAATTCCAGTTAAAATCCCAATTCAAATCCCAGTTTGAATTCCAATCAAAATCCTAATTAAAATCCCAATTCAAATCCCCATTTGAATTCCAATTAAAATCCCAATTCAATTCCCAATTTGAATTCCAGTTAAAATCCCAATTCAATTCCCAATTAGAATCCCAATTTCAATTAAAATTCCAATTCAAATCCCAATTAGAATCCCAATTTGAATTCCAATTAAAATCCCAATCTGAATCCCAATTTGAATCCCAATTAGAATCCCAGTTTAAATTCCAATTCGAATCCCAATTAAAATCCCAATTTGAATTCCAATTAAAATCCCAATCTGAATCCCAATTTGAATCCCAATTAGAATCCCAATTTGAATCCCAATTAAAATCTCAGTCGGGCTCCTCCCGAAGGTTCCGGATCCTCCTTTCCCGTTTTTCCCCACTTGGGGCTCCCTGAGCCCCTCTGACCCCCAAAACCCCGGAATTCTGGAAAATCTGGGGTGGGAGAGGAGCCCTGAGGGGGCCGAAATCCCAGGAATCCCAAACTGGGATCCACCCGCCGGGAAATCCCGGGATTTGGGATCAGCTCTGGGGGCTGGGAATTCCCGGGGAGGGGGATGAGGATGATGAGGAGGATCCTGGGATCCCCGAAATCCGGGAATGAGCTGAGGACACAGCCCGAGGGGGCTCTGCTCCTTCAGATTCCTGGGATTTTTTCCGGGATGTTCCCGATCCCGAGGGAATCCCATCCCTGCCCTGGGATCACCAGAACCGACCGAGGTCCAGGAGGGACCCGGATCCAGGGACCATTCCCAGATCCCTGATCCAAGGCCCAGATCCCAGATTTGTCCCAGACCCAGGAATCCTATCCCAGCTCAGGAATCCCATCCCAAACCCAGGGATCCCATCCTGGATCAGGAATCCTGTCCCAGCTCAGGAATCCCATCCCAGATCCAGGGATCCCATCCCAAAACCAGGAATCCCATCCCAGATCCAGGAGTCCCATCCCAAAACCAGGAATCCCATCCCGGATCAGGAATCCCATCCCAGCTCAGGAATCCCATCCCAGATCCAGGAATCCCATCCCAGATCCATTCCCCACATGGGATCCCCAGATTCACATTCCCAAATCCAGGGGCCATTCCCAGCATCCCCATTTTCCAACACCTGCCCCAAATCCAGGGATGAGATCCCAAACCCAGGGATCAGACCCCAAACCCCTCCCCTATTCCTGCCCCAAATCCACCTCCCGCCCCCCATTCCCAATCCCATTCCCGGATCCCGCCCATTTCCCCTCCTTGGGGGCGGGCTCGGGATCGCCCGCTCCTTTTCCAGCCCCGATCCCAAATCCCGGTTTTTGGTGGCCGCTGTGCAGCCCGGCCGGGGCGCGCTCTTCCCCCATTCCCGCTTTTCCCACTTTTCCCGTTATTCCCGCTTTCCCCACTGTTCCCGCTATCCCGTTTTCCCCCGTTTTTCCCGTTTTTTGCCCGCTCGGTCCTGCCGGGAATTCCGCGGGCTCCCGGAACTGCTCCGGGCGGGGAATTCCGGGAATTTGGGGCGCTGAGCCCGGCCTGGGGGCGATGCCGGGTGAGCACCCGAAATCCCATTGGAGGGGATCCCAAAAACCAACCTGGGAATCCCAAAATATCACCGGGAGGGGATCCCAAAAACCCACTCAGGAATGCCAAAACCCCCCCGGGGAGGAATCCTAAAATCCCATCGGGGGGAATCCCAAAATCCCACTGGGAGGGGGTCCCAAAAACCCACTCAGGAATCCCAAAACCCCCTCGGGGAGGAATCCCAAAAACCCACCCAGGAAAATCCCAAAATCCCATTGGAGGGGATCCCAAAAACTAACCTGGGAATCCCAAAATCCCACTGGGAGGGGATCCCAAAACCCACCAGGGGAGAATCCGTGGGATTTGGGACAGGGAAAGCGGGAATGGGGCTTGGGGGATGGGGCGGGAGCCGGCAGTGGGAGTGGAATCCCAAAATCCCACTTGGGAATCCCAAAAACCCACCCAGGGACAATCCTAAAATCCCACCGGGGAGAATCCCAAAATCCCACTCGGGAATCCCAAAAAACCCACCTGGAGGAATCCCAAAGCCCCACTCGGGAATCTCAAAACCCCTCTGTAGGGAGACCCCAAAATCCACTGGGAGGAATCCAGAAAATCCCTGGGGGGGAAGGAGATCCCAAAACCCCACCTGGGGGGAATCCCAAAACCCCGCTGGGGAGAAACCCAAAATCCTATCTGGGATATCCCAAAAATCCATTGGGGGGGTGTTGGGGAGAATCTGGGATCTCAGGGATCCCGGGATGGGATCAGGGAGCTGAGGGATCCTCAGAGTGGGATTTGGGCTCTCAGGGAACCCTGGAATGGGATTTGGGATCCTTGGAACGGGATTTGGGATCCCAGGGATCCCTAGAACAGGATATGGAATCCCAGGGATCCTCAGAGTGGGATTTGGGATCTCAGGGATCCCTGGAACGGGATATGGGATCCCAGGGATCCCTGGAACAGTATTTGGGATCTCAGGGATCCCTGGAACGGGATATGGGATCCCAGGGATCCCTGCAATGGGATTTGGGCTCTCAGGGATCCTTGGAACGGGACTTGGGCTCTCAGGGATCCCTGGAGTGGGATTTGGGATCCCAGGGATCCCTGGAACAGTATTTGGGATCTCAGGGATCCCTAGAACAGGATATGGGATCCCTGCAATGGGATATGGGATCCCAGGGATCCCTGGAACGGGATTTGGGCTCTCAGGGATCCTTGGAACGGGATTTGGGCTCTCAGGGATCCCTGGAACGGGATTTGGGCTCTCAGGGACCCCTGGAGTGGGATATGGGATCCCAGGGATCCCTGGAATGGGATTTGGGCTCTCAGGGATCCCAGGATGGGATTTGGGATCTCAGGGATCCCTGGAATGGGATTTGGGATTCCAGGGATCCCTGAAATGGGATTTGGGATCTCAGGGATCCCTGGAGTGGGATTTGGGATCTCAGGGATCCCTGGAGTGGGATTTGGGATCTCAGGGATCCCTGGAGTGGGATTTGGGCTCTCAGGGATCCCTGGAGTGGGATTTGGGATCCCAGGGATCCCTGGAAGGGGATTTGGGCTCTCAGGGATCCCTGGAGTGGGATTTGGGGGCTGCCAGGGCGGCACTGCCCGCCTGCGCCGTTCCCTGCGCGGCCCGGCGGTGGCACGCGGAGCGGCTGAGCTCCAGCCTGGCGCAGCATTCCCGGCGGCTCCACGAGCTCCAGGGAATGGCGGCCGAGGCGGAGGCCGCGCGGCAGAACCTGACGCGGAGCCTCGATGTGCGGCATGGAGCCGCTCCGGGGCCTGCGGGCCCTGCCGGGTCCGGCCGCGCGGGAGGCGCCGCGGAGCTCCGAGGGGACACAGGAGACACGCAGGAGACGGCGCTGCGGCCGCAGCTGGGCGATGCCGGGCGCGGCTGGACGAGCAGCAGGATGAGGCCGTGGCCATCGCGGCCAGCGCTGGCGGGCGCGTGCACTGCACCTCCTCACTGCCCTCAGAGTGAGGCCTGCAGCCTGGAGCTCCGCGGGCACGGGCTGGAGCTCCGCGGGCACGGGCTGGAGTTCTGCAGGTACAGCCTGGAGCTCCGCGGGCACGGGCTGGAGTTCTGCAGGTACAGCTTGGAGCTCTGCGGGCAGGGGCTGGAGCTCCACGGGCATGGGCTGGAGCTCCGCGAGCACGGGCTGGAGTTCTGCAGGTACAGCCTGGAGCTCCGCGAGCACGGGCTGGAGCTCCGCGGGCACGGGCTGGAGTTCTGCAGGTACAGCTTGGAGCTCTGCGGGCAGGGGCTGGAGCTCCACGGGCATGGGCTGGAGCTCCGCGAGCACGGGCTGGAGTTCTGCAGGTACAGCCTGGAGCTCCGCGGGCACGGGCTGGAGCTCCGCGGGCACGGGCTGGAGCTCCGCAAGCACGGGCTGGAGCTCCGCGGGCACGGGCTGGAGCTCCGCGGGCACGGGCTGGAGTTCTGCAGGTACAGCCTGGAGCTCCACGAGCACGGGCTGGAGCTCCACGAGCATGGGCTGGAGCTCCACGGGCATGGCCTGGACTCTGTGGGCACAGGCTGGAGCTCCGCGAGCACGGGCTGCAGCTCCGCGGGCAGGGGCTGGAGCTCCGCGCGCACGGGCTGGAGCTCCGCGAGCTCGGCCGGTCTCTCGGGACGCTCCGGGCGGGCGCGGAGCAGCTCCGGGAGCAGTCTGGGTGCCGGGGGCCCGGCTGGAGCCGGGCGTGAGGAACCGGCCCTGGCGGTGGTGCAGGAGGTGAGGGCGGTGGGCGCGCGGCACGCGGAGCTGCTCCGGAACGGCAGCGGGCTCCGAGGTCAGCGAGGACGGAGGGAGGGCAGGCGGCTTTTCCCGGGATGGGGCGGGATCGGGGGGTCCTGATCGCCAGGAATGATCCCGGCCGAGGTCTGGGATGGACCCCGATCATCCCATGGATATCCTGATCCCAGGGACAGCAGGGAGGGGACCCTTGGGATGGGATTTTGGGAATCCCGATCCCGAGGAACGTGGAGGAGGATCCAAACCCCGAGGTCTGGGATGGGCTGGGATCATCCCATGGATGTGGGGCTGTCCCAGAGAGAGGTGGCCCTTCCCTGGGTGAGGGTGGGATTTTAGCAATCCCAATCCCAAGGAACGTAGAGGATGATCCAAATCCTGAGGTTTGGGATGGCACCGGGATCATCCCGTGGATGTCCTGATCCCAGGGACAGCAGGGAGGGGACCCTTGGGATGGGATTTTGGGAATCCCGATCCCAAGGAACATGGAGGACGATCCAAACCCCGAGGTCTGGGATGGACCCCGATCATCCCATGGATATCCTGATCCCAGGGACAGCAGGGAGGGGACCCTTGGGTTGGGATTTTGGGGATCCCGATCCTAAGGAATGTAGAGGAGGATCCAAACCCCCACTGTGAGGTCTGGGATGGCACCGGGATCACCCCATGGATGTGGGGCTGTCCCTGGATGCGGATCCCAGGGGACAGCAGGGAGGGGACCCTTGGGTTGGGATTTTGGGGATCCCGATCCTAAGGAATGTAGAGGAGGATCCAAACCCCCACTGTGAGGTCTGGGATGGCACCGGGATCATCCCGCGGATGTCCCGATCCCAGGGACAGCAGGGAGGTGACTCTTCTTGGGATGGGGCGGGATTTTGGGAATCCCGATCCCGAGGAACGTGGAGGAGGATCCAAACCCCGCGGTTTGGGATGGCACCGGGATCATCCCGTGGGTTTGGGGCTGTCCCGGGCCAGGTGACCCTTCCCTGGGTCAGGGTGGGATTTTGGGAATCCTGATCCTGATGTGGGTCAAGGATAATCCAAACCCTGAGGTCTGGGAAGGCACCGGGATCATCCCATGGACACCCTGATCCCAGGGACAGCAGGGAGGGGACCCTTCTTGGGATGGGGCGGAATTTTGGGAATCCCGATCCCGAGGAACGTGGAGGAGGATCCAAACCCCGCGGTTTGGGATGGGTCGGGATCATCCCGTGGGTCTGGGGCTGTCCCGGGCCAGGTGACCCTTCCCTGGGTCAGGGTGGGATTTTGGGAATCCTGATCCTGATGTGGGTCAAGGATAATCCAAACCCTGAGGTCTGGGAAGGCACCGGGATCATCCCATGGACACCCTGATCCCAGGGACAGCAGGGAGGGGACCCTTCTTGGGATGGGGCGGAATTTTGGGAATCCCGATCCCGAGGAACGTGGAGGAGGATCCAAACCCTGAGGTCTGGGATGGGTCGGGATCATCCTGTGGGTCTGGGGCTGTCCCGGGCCAGGTGACCCTTCCCTGGGTCAGGGTGGGATTTCGGGATTTGGGAACGTCCCGACTCCCTCCGGTGTCGCTCCCTGTGCCCCCCGCACGGAGCCAGCGGCTCTTCCCGAACCCCTGGGGGGAATTCCCGCCCATCCCCATTCCCGGGATGGAATTCCGCGTGTTCCGGGCTTTGCCAGGACCGGAGCATTCTCCGGATGGAATTCCTGGTTTTCCCGAGAGTGGAGCATTCCCCGGATAGAATTCACGGTTTTCCCGGAGCACTCCCCGTGTGGAATTCCTGGTTTTCCTGGGACCAGACCATTCCCCAGATGGAATTCCCAGTTTTCCCGAATTTCCCAGGCCTGGAGCATTCCCTGGGTGGAATTTCCATTTTTCCCGGAGCATTCCCTGGGTGGAATTCCCAGAGCATTCCCGTGTGAATTCCCATTTGCCCCGGATCATTCCCCGTGTGGAATTCCCACTTTCCCTGGAGCATTCCCGTGTGGAATTCCCGTTTTCCCGTTTCATTCCCTGGGTGGAATTCCTGTTTTCCCAGACCGCAGCATTCCTCGTGTGGAATTCCCATTTTCCCCGGATCATTGTCATGTAGAATTCCCGTTTTCCTGCACCTCCCCGTGTGGAATTCCTGGTTTTCCTGGGACCAGACCATTCCCCAGATGGAATTCCCAGTTTTCCCGAATTTCCCAGGCCTGGAGCATTCCCTGGGTGGAATTCCCGTTTTCCCGTTTCATTCCCTGGGTGGAATTCCTGTTTTCCCCAGATCATTCCCGTGTGGAATTCCCGTTTCCCCGTTTCATTCCCCGTGTGGAATTCCCGTTTTCCCCAGATCATTCCCGTGTGGAATTCCCATTTTCCCGGATCATTTCCCATATGGAGTTCCCCTTTTCCCGTTTATTTCCCGTGTGGAATTCCCGTTTTCCCGTTCCATTCCTGGATCCCCGCTGTCGTTCCGGGGCTCCCGGGGCCGCGCGGCCCCAGGGGCGACCCCGGATCCGGGAGAGCGCCGGGAACTCAAGGGCGACCTCGGGGATTCGGGATCGCCGGGATCGCCGGGACCTCTGGGATTGCCGGGACCTCCGGGATTGCCAGGACCTCCGGGATTGCCAGGATCTCTGGGACCTCCGGGATCGCCAATTCCTCGTGTGGAATTCCCATTTTCCCCGGATCATTGTCATGTAGAATTCCCGTTTTCCTGCACCGGAGCATTCCCGTGTGGAATTCCCGTTTTCCCCAGATCATTCCTGTGTGGAATTCCCGTTTTCCCGTTCCATTCCCGGATCCCCGCTGTCGTTCCGGGGCTCCCGGGGCCACGCGGCCCCAGGGGCGACCCCGGATCCGGGGGCGCGCCGGGAACTCAAGGGCGACCTTGGGAATTTGGGATTGCCGGGATTGCCGGGATCTCTGGGATCTCCAGGATCTCTGGGACCTCCGGGGTCGCCGGGATCTCCGGGATCTCTGGGATCTCCGGGATTGCCAGGATCTCTGGGATCTCCGGGACTGCCAGGATTGCCAGGATTGCCGGGATCTCTGGGATTGCCGGGATTGCTGGGATCTCTCGGGATTGCCAGGATCTCTGGGACCTCCGGGATCGCCAGGATCTCCGGGATCTCTGGGATCTCCGGGATTGCCGGGATCTCTGGGATCTCCAGGATCTCTGGGACCTCCGGGGTCGCCGGGATCTCCGGGATCTCTGGGATCTCCGGGAGCGGCCGGGCCACGGGGGCAGCGGGGCCCTCCCGGCTCCCGCGGCATTCCCGGCTCCAAGGGTGACAAGGGAATCCCGGGGCGGAGAACTGGGGACAGGGGGACACCGGGAGAACCGGGAGAACCGGGGACACCGGGACCATCCGGGCCACCGGGACTCTGACCGGGACAGGGCACAGCGGGGACAGCCCGGGGACAGGGGACACCGGGACAGGAGACACTGGGAGCGGCCGGAGCCCGCGGGGAGCCCGGGAGCGGGGGCAGCGGGGCCCGCCCGGCTCCCGCGGCATTCCCGGCTCCAAGGGTGACAAGGGAATCCCGGGAGCCCGCGGGGCCCCGGGGCGCGGCGGCGGCGGAGAACCGGGGACACCGGGGACACCGGGACCGCCAGGACCACCGGGACAGCCGGGACACCGGGGACAGCCCGGGGACAGCCCGGGGACACCGGGACTGCCCGGGCCACCGGGACCCTGACCGGGACAGGGGACACCGGGACCACCCAGGCCACTGGGACAGCCGGGACACCGGGACCTTGACCGGGACAGGGGACAGCGGGGAGAGGGACACGGTGAGGGACACCGGGGACAGGGGGACACCGGGGACAGGGGGACACCGGGGACACCAGGAGAACCGGGAGAACCGGGGACACCGGGGACAGGGGGACACCGGGGACACCGGGACAGGGGACAGCGGGGACAGGAACAGGGGGACACGGACAGCGCCAGGGGACAGCGGGAGAGCCCGGGGACACCGGGACAGGGACAGCAGTGCCACCCCCGGGACACGCACAGGGACCGGGGACAGGGACACGGACACGGGGACAGGGGGACAGCAGTGCCACCCCCGGGACAGGGGACAGAGGGACACGGACACGGGGACAGGGACAGCAGTGCCACCTCCTGGACAGGGGGACAGGGGGACACAGGGACAGGGACACAGGGACAGGGGGACACGGGGACAGGGATACGGACACGGGGACAGGGACACGGACAGGGGACAGGGACAGCAGTGCCACCTCCTGGACAGGGGGACACAGGGACACAGGGACACAGGGACACGGGGACAGCAGCGCCAGCCCCGGGGTGGGGACAGGGAGAGGGGGACAGGGACAGGAGCGGGACAGGGAGCCCCGTGCCACCCCCGGTGTCTCCAGGGTGTCCCCGCGGTGTCCCCAGGAGGTGCCGGGAACATCCCGATGGAATTTTCGGGAAATCGGGGAGGATTTGGGGGGAATTCTGGGGAATTTGTGGGGAGCTGAACCCCGGGGAAGTGCCGGGATGATCCCGATGGGATTTGGGAAAGATTTGGGGGGAATTTTGGGGATTTTGGGGGGGCTGAGCCCCCGGGAAGTGCCGGGACGATCCCGATGGGATTTGGGAAAGATTTGGGGGGAATTCTGGGGAATTTGGGGGGGCTGAGCCCCCGGGGAAGGGTCGGGATGATCCCGATGGGATTTGGGGTGATGCTCTAAAGGGATGGGGGTGGGGACAAATCGGGAATCCCGAAACCCCAAAACCCCAAAACGTCCAGAGCAATTCCCGAATTCCCGACAAGAATTCCAGAGGCGGCTCCGTTTGGGGGGAATTCTGGGGAATTTGGGGGGAGCTGAACCCCCGGGAAGTGCCGGGATGATCCCGATGGGATTTGGGATGATGCCGGGACGGGATGGGGGTGGGGACAAATCGGGAATCCCGAAACCCCAAAACCCCAAAACCCCAAAACGTCCAGAGCAATTCCCGAATTCCCGACAAGAATTCCAGAGGCGGCTCCGGCCGATCCCGGCTTTGTTGGCTCCGACATTCCCGGGAATTCCCCCCAAAGTCCGGGAGCTGCCCCAGCTCCTGTTCCCGGGAATTCCCGAAGGATCCTCACATGAAATCATCGGAGTCGTTCCCGTCCTGCCGGGAAACAGGGAATTGGGGATTGGGGATTTGGGATTGGGGAATTGGGATTTGGGAATGAGGGAATTCGGGAATGTGGGATTTCGGAATTTGGGAATTTTGGGATTTGGGAATTTGGGATGTGTGAATTGGGGATTTGGGAATTTGGGGAATTGGGATTTTGGAATTTTGGGATTGGGAATGTGGGAATTTGGGGAATTGGGATTTTGGGGAATTTGGGATTGGGGATTTGGGGAATTGGGGATTGGGGATTTGGGGAATTGGGATTTGGGAATGAGGGAATTCGGGAATGTGGGATTTTGGAATTTGGGAATTTTGGGATTTGGGAATTTGGGCAATTGGGATTTTGGGATTTGGGTTTTGGAAATTTGGGGAATTGGGAATTTGGGGAATTGGGATTTTGGGGAATTTGGGATTGGGGATTTGGGGAATTGGGGATTGGGGATTTGGGGAATTGGGATTTGGGAATGAGGGAATTCGGGAATGTGGGATTTGGGAATTTGGGAATTTTGGGATTTGGGAATTTGGGATGTGTGAATTGGGGATTTGGGAATTTGGGGAATTGGGATTTTGGAATTTTGGGATTGGGAATGTGGGAATTTGGGGAATTGGGATTTTGGGGAATTTGGGATTGGGGATTTGGGGAATTGGGGATTGGGGATTTGGGGAATTGGGATTTGGGAATGAGGGAATTCGGGAATGTGGGATTTGGGAATTTGGGAATTTTGGGATTTGGGAATTTGGGGATTTGGGATTTTGGGATTTGTGTTTTGGGAATTTGGGGAATTGGGAATTTGGGGAATTGGGAATGTGGGAATTTTGGGATTTGGGATGTGTGAATTGGAGATTTGGGGATTTGGGGAATTGGGATTTTGGTATTTTGGGATTGGGAATGTGGGAATTGGGATTTTGGGGATTTGGGGGTTTTGGGAATTTGGGGAATTGGGATTTGGGGTTTTGGGAATTTGGGATTTGGGAATTTGGGGAATTGGGAATTTTTGGAATTGGAAATGTGGGATTTGGGAATTTGGGAATGGGAATTTCGGAATGGGAACATGGATTGGGAATGGGACTGGGAGTTGGGAATGGGAATAGGGAAGGGGAATTGGAATTTTGGACTGGGAATGTGGGAACTCCCATGGGGATACTTTGGGCTCTGGAGCTCTGGGAATTCTCATCATTCCCACTATTCCCACTCCTGTTATTCCCAATCCCATTCCCATTATCTCCAGTATTCCCAATCCCGTTATTCCCATTGTTCCCATTCCCATCATTCCCATCCCATGGAATGGAATTCCTGTCCCAATCCCAATCCCAATCCCGTTATTCCCATTATTCTTCATTTCATCATTCCCGTTATTCCCAATCCCACTACTGCCATTCCCACAGATCCCATTATTGCATCATCCCCATTCCCAGTCCCATCTCCATCATTCCCATCATTCCCATTCCCATCATTCCCATTATCCCCATCATCCCCATCCCATCCCAATCCCATTCCCACTATTCCCAATCCCGTCATTCCCATTGTTCCCATTCCCATTATTCCAAATTTAATTATTCCCACGATGCCCAATCCCATTCCCACTATTCCCAGGATTCCCAATCCCATTTTCCCCATTTTTCCCATCCCATTACTCCCAATCCCATTCCCAATCCTAATCCCATTCCCACTATTCCCATTCCCAGAATTCCCATCATTCCCAATCCCGTTTTTCCCACCATTCCCATCTCATCCCATTATTCCCAACCCCATTCCCAATCCTAATCCCATTCCCACTATTCCCCTTCCCAGAATTCCCATCATTCCCAATCCCGTTTTTCCCACCATTCCCATCTCATCCCATTAATCCCAACCCCATTCCCAACCCCATTCCCATCATTCCCAATCCCGTTTTCCCCAATCCCATTAATCCCATTATTCCCAACCAACCCCATTCCCAATCCTAATCCCATTCCCACTATTCCCATTCCCAGAATTCCCATCATTCCCAATCCCATTTTCCCCAATCCCATTAATCCCATTATTCCCAACCCCATTCCCATCATTCCCAATCCCGTTTTCCCCAATCCCATTAATCCCATTATTCCCAACCCCATTCCCATTATTCAGCCTCTCATTATTCCCACAATTCCCAATCCCATTTTCCCACCATTCCCATGATTCCCCTTCCCATTCCACTCCCACCATTCCCATTTCCCGCCCCCTTTTCCCAGGAATTCCCGGAATTCCGGGGTCCCCCACCTGGTTGGAGCTCATGTTCTCTGCCTTCATCAGGGACGAGTAGCTCCTGCAGGGACAATTCCCGAAATCATCCCGGAATTCCGGCGGAATTCCCGCCGAAAACCCGGGCTGGATCCCAGAATTCCCGAGGATTTCCCCTCTGGAATTCCGCCCCGCGTCGATTCTCCCGCAATTCCTTCATCCCGAGGTTTTTCTCTGGGATCCCCCAGCTGGAAATTCCCGGATTTGGGATCCCCATCCCGGGAAATTCCCGGATTTCCTTCCATCCCGGTTTTTGGGAAGCTCCCCAGGGAATCCTGGGAATCCCAAATTCCCAAATCCCTCGGCAGGAATTCCCGGCACATCCCAGCCCCTCATTCCCGGTTATCCGGGATCCGGAATTCCAGGGGGAGCAGCAGGAATCCCGAGAAAGCTCCGGAACTGCCGGGGGCAATTCCAGAGGGAATTCCAGAGGGAATTCCAGAGGGAATTCCAGAGGAAATCTAGAGAGAATTCCAGAGGGAACTGGGGCGATTCCAGAGGGAACTCCAGAGGCAATTGCAGGGCAATTCCAAAGGGAATTCCAGAGAAAATTCCAGGAGAAATTCCAAAGGCAATCCAGAGGCAATTCCAAAGGCAACTGAGGGAATTCCAGAGGGAATTCCAAAGGGAATTGGGGCAATTCCAGAAGCAATTCCCAAGGGAATTCCAGGCTCTCTCCCCCAGCATTCCCAGTCCCCATTCCCTGACCGAAGCTGGAATTCACCTTGGAAAATCCCCAGGAGCTCCAATCCTGGAATTCCCACCAGACATTCCCGGAATTCCTGGAATTCCCACCGGAGCTCCTCCACCTCCCTCTTTCTCCGCATTTCCCCTCTCTGTTCCCGGCGCCGCCCGCGCTCCTCGCGGCATTCCCAACGTTCTCAACAAACATTCCCAACGTTCCCAACAAATATTCCGGGAATTCCCAGCAAACATTCCCAACACTCCCACCAAACGTTCCCATGAAACATTCCCGGAGTTCCTGGCATTCATTCCCACCGGAGCTCCTCCACCTCCCTCCTCCTGCAGCTCCTCGCGCTGCTCCTGCAGCTCCATGCGGCGCCACCAAACATTCCCAACATTCCCACCAAGCATTCCCACCAAACATTCCCAACATTCTGACCAAACAACCCTGGAATTCCCAACAAACGTTCCCCTGAAACATTCCCGGCATTCATTCCCACCGGAGCTCCTCCATCTCATTTTCCTGCGGAGCTCCTCGCGCTGCTCGCGGCGCTGCTCCTGCAGCTCCATGTGGTGCCACATTCCCAGCAAACATTCCCAACATTCCCAGCAAACATTCCTGGCATCCCCACTAAACATTCCCACCAAGAATTCCCAACGTTCCCACCAGTCATTCCCAATAAACACTCCCGGAATTCCCAGCATTCATTCCCACCGGAGCTCCTCCATCTCCTTTTTCCTGCGGAGCTCCTCGCGCTGCTGCTCCTGCAGCTCCATCCAGTGCCACATTCCACTAAACATTCCCAACATTCCCACCAAACATTCCCAACATTCTGACCAAACATTCCCGGAATTCCTACCAGTCATTCCCAATAAACACTCCTGGAATTCCCAGCATTCATTCCCACCGGAGCTCCTCCATCTCATTTTCCTGCGGAGCTCCTCGCGCTGCTCGCGGCACTGCGCCTGCAGCTCCATCCAGTGCCACATTCCACCAAACATTCCCACCAGATACATTCCCAACATTCCCACCAAACATTCCCAACATTCCCACCAAACATTCCTGGAATTCCCACCAAACATTCCCACCCGACATTCCCTGAATTCCCAAATCCCGGGGTTCCCACCGGAGCTCCTCCATCTCCTTTTTCCTGCGGAGCTCCTCGCGCTGTTCCCGGTGCTGCTCCTGCAGCTCCATCCAGTGCCACATTCCACCAAACATTCCCACCAGATACTCCCAACATTCCCAGCAAACATTCCTGGCATTCCCACCAAGCACTCCCAACATTCCCAGCAAACATTCCCAATAAACATTCCCGGAATTCCCACGGGAGCTCCTCCATCTCATTTTCCTGTGGAGCTCCTCCCTCTGCTCCTGCAGCTCCATCTGCTGCCACATTCCCACCAAACATTCCAAACATTCCCAACATTCCCAGCAAACATCCCTGGCGTTCCCACCAAACATTCCCTGAATTCCCAAATTCTGGAATTCCCACCGGAGCTCCTCCATCTCCCTCCTCCTGCGGAGCTCCTCGCGCTGCTCCCGGCGCTGCTCCTGCAGCTCCATGCGCGCGCCGCTCCACCGTCACCGAGCGCAGCTGGGGTTAAACCAGGGATAAACCGGGCTTAAACCGGGCTTAAACCGGCCTTAAACCTGGGACTAAACTGGGATTAAACCCGGGTTAAACCGGGATTAACGACAATTATACTGGGAAAAACGGGAATGAAACCAGGGATTAAACCGGGATTTAAACCAGGGATTGGGAGCGCGCTGCTCTGCCGGCCGCCGCTCCGCTGGCAGACTGCACCTGGAATGAGGGATTAAACCGGAATTAAACCGGGATTAAACCGGGATTAAACCGGGATTAAACCAGGGATTAAACTGGGATTAAACCGGGATTAAACTGGGAAAACCGGGATTAAACTGGGATTAAACCAGGATTAAACCGGGATTAAACCGGGATTAAACCAGGGATTAAACCGGGATTAAACCGGGATTAAACCGGGATTAAACTGGGATTAAACCGGGATTAAACTGGGATTTGGGAGTGTGCTGCTCCGCCATCAGCGAGTATACATGGGGAAGAACAATTCCCAACTCCCATTCCCAGATTTTGGCTGTTCCCGTTCCAGGATGGATTCCCACAGTTCCCATTCCCAGATTCCTGCTCCCCATTCCCAAATTCCCAATTCCCACAGTTCCCATTCCCAGATTCCTGTTCCCCATTCCCTATTCCCAAATTCCCATTCCCAGATTTTGGATGTTCCCATTCCAGGATGGATTCCCAAGGTTCCCATTCCCACTGTTCCCATTCCAGGATGGATTCCCAAGGTTCCCATCCCACTGTTCCATTCCCAGCTGGATTCCCGAGGTTCCCCATCCTCACACTCCCCCCGCTCCTGTTCCCACATTCCCGTTATTCCCGTTATTCCCAGTCCCAATTCCCACCGTCCCCATTCCCAATTCCGACCCTTCCCTTTCCTGGAAGCATTCCCATTGCTCCCACTCCCATTCCCCATTCCCAACCCCACATTCCCAAATGCATTCCCACATTCCCACATTTATTCCCATTCCCATTCCCGTCTCAGATTCATTCCCAAATTCCCACATTCCCACATTCCCAAATTCCCAAATTCCCGTCTCTCATGTCCTTGTGCCGCTGGAAGCCGATGTGCTCCCACTCCCATTCCCACATTCCCAAATTCCCAGTTCCCATTCCCAGATCTATTCCCAAATTCCCAATTTACTCCCAGACTTACTCCCATTCCCACACTCCCATATCCATTATTCCCAAATCCCCACATTCATTCCCACCCCTCACTCACGTCCTTGCTGCGGTGGAAGCTGATCCGATTCCCACATTCCCACGTTCCCACACTCCCATTCCCATTCCCACATTCCCAGATTTATTCCCACATTCCCATGTTTCCCTGACTCACGTCCTTGCTGCAGTGGAAGCCGATCCCAGTTTCATTCCCAGATTCCCAGATTCCCATTCCCAAATTCCCATTCCCAGATTCCCAGGTTTATTTTGTCACTCACGTCCTTGCTGCGGTGGAAGCCGATCCCATTCCCACATTCCCAGATTTATTCCCAGGTTTATTCCCACATTCCCACATTCCCATGTTCCCCACTCTTATGTCCTTGCTGCGGTGGAAGCCGATCCCATTCCCACATTCCCATTCCCACATTCCCAGATTCCCAGGTTTATTCCCACATTCCCATGTTTCTCACTCACGTCCTTGCTGCGGTGGAAGCTGATCCCATTCCCAAATTCCCATTCCCAAATTCCCATTCCCACATTCCCAGATTTATTCCCTGACTCACGTCCTTTGTGCGGTGGAAGCCGATCCCATTCCCATTCCCAGATTTATTCCCAGATTCCCAGATTTATTCCCACATTCCCATGTTCCTCACTCACGTCCTTGCTGCGGTGGAAGCCGATCCATTCCCACATTCCCAGATTTATTCCCATTCCCCACTCACGTCCTTTGTGCGGTGGAAGCCGATCCCATTCCCATTCCCATTCCCATTCCCATTCCCATTCCCATTCCCACATTCCCATTCCCATGTTTATTCCTCACTCACGTCCTTTGTGCGGTGGAAGCCGATCTGCCCCACGTCCATGTCGGGCGTTTTGCGCAGGTTGCTCCAGGGCGTGTAAACCACCGTCACCGAGCTCAGCTTGCAGCCTGGGGGAAAAATGGGGTAAAAATGGGCAAAAACGGGTAAAAACGGGTTAAAAACGGGGTAAACCACCGTCACCGAGCTCAGCTTGCAGCCTGGGGGAAAAACGGGCAAAAACGGGCAAAAACGGGCAAAAACGGGCAAAAACACAGTCAGGGTAAAGCACCATCACCGAGCTCAGCTTGCAGCCTGGGGAAAATGGGGGAAAAACGGGGGAAAATGGGCAAAAATTGACAAAAACTGGGAAAAATGGGATAAAGCACTGTCAGTGAGCTGAGCTTGCAGCCCAGAAATGGGGAAAAAATGAGAAAAATGGGCAAAAATGGGAAAAAATGGGTAAAAAATGGGAAAATGGGGTAAAGCAGTGGCACTGAGCTCAGCCTGAAGCCTGGAAATGGGGGGAAAATGGGGAAAATGGGGAAAAATGGGTAAAAAATGGGATAAAATGGGATAAATCATGGTCACTGAGCTCAGCTTGCAGCCTGGAAATGGGGCAAAAAACGGGGAAAACGGGCAAAACTATTTATGGTAAAAACCCAGTAAAGGTGGGGGATAAATGGGAAAAAATGGGGAAAATTGGGGAGAAATGAATGGGGGAAAATGGGGAGAAACGGGGAAAATAAAGAGGGAAATGGGGAAATAAAGGGAGAAAAGGGGAAATGGAAAAAAGGGAAATAAACGGGAAAAGTGGGGAAAACCAGGAAAAATAAATGGGGAAAAATGGGGAAAACACAGAAAATAAATGGGAAAAAATGGGGAAAACCAGGAAAAATAAATGGGGAAAAATGGGGAAAACACAGAAAATAAATGGGAAAAAATGGGGAAAACACAGAAAATAAATGGGAAAAAATGGGGAAAACCAGGAAAAATAAATGGGAAAAAATGGGGAAATGGTGAAAAAATGGGGGAAAAGGGGAATAAAGTGGGAAAAAATAGGGAAGAAGTGGGGAAAAGCAAAAGTGGGGGAAAATGGGAAAAAGTGGAAAAAATGTGAGGAAACAAAAAAAAAAATGGGGAGAAATGGGGAAAAATTGGGGAAAATTAGGAAAAAAAAGAAAGAAAATTGGGGGAAAATGGGAAAAATATTGGGAAAAAATTGGGGAAAAATGGGGAAAAATTGGGGCAAAAAAGGAAGGGAAATTAGGGAAAAATGGGGAAAAATGTTGGGAAAAGAGCGGGGGAAATGGGGAAAAGAAGGAAAAAGGGGGGATTTGGGCAAGAGGAAAAAGGGAATTTGGGGTACCTTGGATGCTGTTGGCCTTGACCAGGTGGGCGCAGTCGCTCAGCACCTCCTTGGGGATGTCGTCCATGGTCTGGCCCTGCCCCAAGCACAAATCCCGAATCCCCAATCCCGAATCCCGAATCCCAAATCCCGAATCCCGAATCCCAAATCCCCAAATCCCAAATCCCAAATCCCAAATCCCAAATTCCCAAATCCCAAATCCCCAAATTCCCAAATCCCCAAATTCCCAAATCCCAAATCCCCAAATCCCCAAATCCCAAATCCCCAAATCCCAAATCCCACATCCCAAAGCCCAAATCCCGAATCCCAAATCCCCTCCTCATCCCACGGGAAAAGCACATTTCCCACATTTCCCCAGGGTCACCCCACTCCTCCCAAGGCTTTCCCCACTTTTCCCCAGGTTTTCCCCAATTTGTCCAATTTTTTCCCCAATTTTCCCAAGCTTTTCCCCAATTTTCTCAAGATATTTTTCAATTTCCCAGGATTTTTCCCACTTTTCCCAAGGTTTCTCCCACGTTTCCCATGATTTTTCCCCATTCTCCAAGGATTTTTCCCAATTTTCCCGAGGTTTTCCCCAATTTGTCCAATTTTTTTCCCAGTTTTCCCAAGACTTTTCCGACTCTTCCTGAGGTTTCCAGGAGAATATCCCACTTTTCTCAGAATTCTTTACAATTTTCCCAGGATTTTCCCCAATTCTCCCAGGATTTTTCCCACTTTTCCCAAGGTTTTCCCCAATTTCCCCAGGGATATCCCAATTTTCCCAAGATTTTTCCCCACTTTTCCCAAGATTATTCACAATTTTCCCAAGGTTTCCCAGGAATTTCCCACTTTTCCCCAGGTTTTCCCCAATTTTTTCCCAAGATTATTCCTAAGTTTCCCAAGGTTTCCCAAG